ACTTATGGACCAAAATCATGGAAATAATTATAATATAATTAGTCATTAATTATTATGTATTATTTATCTATTGCCACAAAACAGATATATTTGTTCTATTTGTACGCCATTTATTTATCTAAGATTTGTACACTGTACATAATATGATCACAGAATAACATAATATTGAATTGAATTTTTCTGTGATATGATCTTACGATAGACCTTACGAGTTTAAGGCACGAAGACTAGAATATTATTCTAATCTTCGTGGTTTAAGAGGACGTGATACCCTCATGTGTTGTCTCCGTCTTACAATAATGCATTATATTATAGTAAATTTTACGTTCAGCAGAACACGTGTAGCTCAGTTAGTTTAAAAATTAGAGTGAACTGACCTCTAATAACATTTAAAGGTAAGATTATTATCTAGACAACCTCATAATATGCTTTTCATTATATATTAAATTTAAAGCGAGTTATGAGTATTTTAGAATTGTAAATTTTTTGTGCATCTTAAAATACTCATAACTCTCTTTAAATTTAATATATAATAAAAAGCATATGAGGTTGTCTATATATAATAATCTTACCTTTAAATTTTATCAGAGGTCAGTTCACTCTAATTTTTAAGCTAGTGGAGCTAACGTAGCTCAGTTACACGTGTTCTGCTGAACATAAAATTTACTTACTAATTTACATATAATTATAATGCGCTTGTAAGACGGAGACAACACATGCGGATATCACGTCTCTTAAGAGTACGTTTGACCCGCATGTGTTGTCTCCGTGACTCCGTCTGCACATTGCATAAACTGTTTCGCGCGGGAAAGAACCGAGAAAGATACAGTTATAACTAAGGAACGAAATTTTCACCACATAAAGAAGAGAATTTTGTCTGTGCGATATCGTTATTATTTTTTCGGTATCAGAACTAAAAAAAAAAGTTATTCATGCTTAAAAAACACAAAATTAATGTATTATAAAACAATAAGAATTTTTTTTGAATAAGTGATATCGAAAAAATAAAAACGATATTGCACAGACAAAATTCTCCTTTTTATGTTGTGAAAATTTCGTTTCTTACAAGGTGGATTGA